GGACACTACTCACCTTTAGAGGACCAGCCTTTGGCTGTTGCCTTGGTTTTTTTGTATTTTAAAGAAGATAAAACTAAGGAAAATAAAACAATAAAATCAGTCAAAATAAACCAGGCTTCCAAACAATAGTTACCACAACACCTTTGTTGTCTTCAAAATAGCTACAGATACCTTCAGACAAAGTAAAAATGGAACAGAGCAGGATAGAATAGAAACAATAAAAACCAAACCATGAATGCAATAAAGAGCCTCAAAACAAGCCAGTAGTAAATCCATAATGGCTTCCGTAACATGTCTTGCTATCTTTCAGATAGCTGCTCATGCCATCAGAGTTAACATAAACAAAACAAAAGAGAATAAAAGCCCAACCCAACAAAACAGTGAAAATGATGAGATTTCCAGGCAGGTGGAGATCTCCTTCCTGTGGGGACTGGTTCCACTAAAACTCTCAGGTAAGACATTCTCTATATTTGTGGACATAGAGGCCATATATGCAGGGTTCTTCCTGAGTTTTTAGGCTGCTATATTAAGTCCTCAATCTCTATGACGGGGTATTGATGGTCAACCTATGCCATTTATAAACAGGGCCTATTTCGTGCACGTCCCAGTCCTAAATCTTAAAATGCCTTTTATGCAGGCTCACTTAGACACACTGAGGCCTCAACAGCTTCCACCTGTTATCACTAGTAAACCTCTCTTCAGTGATATAAGACCACCCCCTTCCTTTCTTATTCACCAATTTGTCAGACAACCCTGGTCAAGACTGACAGATACATTTTGTCTTCTCACTTTGTTTATACTTTTTCAGGATACATAAAAGCCTTTCCCACAACCAGGTAAACTGCTGATACAACTAGGTTACAGCGACCCATGCCTAAATCAAAGTTGCTAGATTGCCATCCTGGTTTCACATCACTCAGGCTAAGAGGTGCCCTTCCAGCCCTAAATCTGATCATTCTGAGTGGTCATCCCATCTTCTGTCGCCCACCCGTCTCAGTCTCACAAAGGCTTCGCAGCCACAGTTAACAGGCTAAGTCATGTTTTGTTATCCACTTTGGTTCCTAATCCCTTACGTTCTATTAATGATCATTTTTACAGCAGGACTCTTTAACAGTATTGCCTACAGACTCTAACGTCATGCATACCAGAGACAAGCCTTACACACTTACCCTTTTTAACTTTTATGCTTTTGGATGGGGGAGTAATCACCTCTCATAACGTCATTTCCCCTAACCTCACATTTAATTTTCAGAATTCTGCCTTACCATGGAAATGTTCCTACCTCAACGTTGTCCTGATATAATGACATGTCTAAATCAAAGGCACCTTTCCTTCTACCTCACCTGGGTCCTTAAATATGACAGTGCCATGTCTCCTTATAAAATCTTGTCTCTTTGTTTTTTCAGTCTAACATACATGCATTCACTAGTGAAGTTGTCCTTGCTAAAACACCTGGCACCGGCTTCTACCTGGGCATCAACCTTCATCCCGTCGACTCCCCTAGGCTCCAGTACAGCGCCCTCTGCCAGCAGGAAGTAGTTAGAAAAATCTTCGCCCCTTTTCATAATAATAATCATAAGATGGGTTTTGGCCCAGACAGGACTCTGTAGCCAGGAAAGCCTCATCCGGAAGCAGGAAGCCCCTATCTCCCCCGCCCCTAGGAATTTACCTGTGACACCATCTTCCCGCCCCTGGGAATTTACCTATGGCGCCAAACCTAGGGCCAATGGGCTACCCGAGCATCCCTAATGCCCCCCTTAGGTTCCACCCCAAACCAGGGCTACTTATGTGCCTCATTCCACGTGTTCCGCCCAAGAGAATGCTGGACTCCAGCGGTGGGGGGTGCCGGTCATCTCTCTCTGTGTTCTCAGAATAAAGGCCGCTTTTTGTTTTATACCTCTCATCTTTTGGAAATACTTTTCATCTTTTGGAAATAATCCTGTCAGTTCCTTTTGTTCTATTTTTCTTCAGAGTTTGCTGTCTTTCTAATACTGTATAAGCAGCCAAGTCTGTAAGTGTGGCTTTCGTTGTTTACTGGGATTTTTGAAAAACAGTATTCTCACTTTGCTGTGTAGACTTTGTAGTTTCCGCTCATCTGTTTTCTAACCTTTCGCCAGTGGTCACCTTGTGGGCCTAGGTTCTTGTTGCCTCCGGAGCAGGTGGTGCGTGGGGTGCGGACTCAGGCCCACCGCGCACTTGCTGAGGGCTGCATATTCATGGTGCCCGCTGCCTTACTCCCTGTGGTCTTGGCTCACCGTCCCATTCTCAGTGAGGCCTCCTGTACCACCTGCTAAAAACTCACCCCCTCTTCCGCCACTCTGCCCTACCTTGTTTCTTCTGCTTAGTACTTTTTACTTCCTGTTGCAGTCTCCAGAGGAGACAAGGGAAGGAACGGGGAGTACATTAATGGGATGTGGCCGGAGGACATGGAATGTAACTTGTGACGGGAGGGGCGGAGTGTGTGGACTTTGCTTCTGATGAGCTGGGAGGACAGGAGTGAAATAGGGCTTGGGGCCTCACAGACACGGCTGTGACAGGAGGACAAGGTTTTAGCTTAAAGAAGTTCTTACAGTAGTTGTGGGCGTCGCTGAAACCCCTATAAAGGCAGGTTGCTTAGAAAATCAAAATGCACACTGGCCGAAAACCCAGAAACTCCACGCAGTCGTATTCTTTTAAACCGTAACAGAAAAACTTCTGAAAGGTCTCTAAGTGAGCTACCAGATGTTCATGAAACCCAAGGTTATGAAGAGAGGTTGAGGTTCTAAAGGGAAAACGAGCCACTGTGTGTTGAGAGCGTTTAAAGGGTCTATGTGTAGCCTAGCATCGCCTGGGAGACTCAGTTTGTAGAGAAAGACGGGAGTGAGATCAGCACCCACAGGAGGCTCAGAGGTGGCTGATGGCATGGCCCTCGCTTCCTTCCTGTGTTGGAGAAGGGACTGGCTGGCTTTGTCCGAGGTCTACTTCGGATGGCTCCTTGCTGTGGGGAGAGTCGTGTTTCGTAGTGGAAACAGGAGGCCTGCGTTAGTTGAAGGGAGTGGTCTATAAAACACCAGCCTGTTGCAGAGTTGAGAGGAGGGTGTGGCTCCCTAGGTGCTGGCTTCCTCCTGGGTGGCAGCAGCCTGCCCTTGCAGCATCTTCTGGCCTCTGGAGAAGCAGTGTTGTTGTGTTCTTGTTTGCCTGTTTGGTAGCTGCGCCTAAGTAAACATCTTAGGCATTTACAAGGTTGGGGTTGGCTGAAACCTCCTGTTTCACCTAAACGTCACTGCTGTGTACATTTTTGTGGCCTATTGGATTGTGAAAATTTTTCCTGATGGGATTCATTCACCTTGCTTAGAGAACTTTTTCTTACATTTAAAGTCTTTTGTTCTGCACGTGGATTTGATTTAAAATATGTTACACTGGCTGACATGGTGGTAGTTTCATTGGTGTCTGGCTTCTTTGCACTGTAGTCCTCTCCATTTCTACCCCTCTGGGATTATTGCTAGTTGGGGGTTTTTGTTTGAGTTCGTTGTTTGAATTACTTTCACTTTGTTTTTAAATGGGTGAAATTAGGTATAATGAAATACCTAATAGTTCTTGGTTGGTGATACTTAAGGAATTGAACTGTGTAGCATCTTACAAGCTTATGGCATAATCTTGTACAGGAGAGCTTAATTTTTTTTTGTTGTTATTACCAGGGATCAAACTCACACTTGCCAGCAGGAGCTTATGCTGCTGAGCTAAATCCCCAGCCCCAGGACAGCTTAATTTTTAAAGTGGGGCTTATGATAGTTTGCTTCAGCCTGATGTTTTAAGGGTAATATTTTAAAATTTCACACTGTTGAAATAAGAAGAAATTGAAAAGCTAGGCATGGGGGCTGGGGATTTAGCTCAGCGGCATAAGCGCCTGCCTTGCAAGCAGGCAGTGGTGAGTTTGATCCCTGGTACCGATAAAAACGAAAAAGACAAAAAAAAAAAAAAAAAGAAAGAAAAGAAAAGAAAAGCTAGGTGTGGTAGTGCACTCCTGTAATCCCAGCATTTGGGAGGCTGAGGTAGGAGAATTGCTTGCAAGTTCCAGATCAGCTTAGGCTACAAAGTAAGCCCAAGGCCAGTCTGAAATGCATAGCGAGACCCCGTCTCAAAAAGACAAAAAAAAAAAGAAGTCTATAGGTAGTATCTCTGAGGAGATTTCTTTTTTGTATATATTTTTATAGTTTTTTTTTTTTTGCCCTAGATCTATTCAATGGGACGATTTTATATATGCATTGGGTTCTTTAGAAATAATTCCTTTTATGTGAGCCTCTGAGAAGAAAAGTTATTATAACTTAAAAAATTTGTTATTCAATACAATGTTTAAATCTTGCCTTGTTTTACAAGGTGACATAAGAGGGAAAATAAAACTAATTGAACTCTACTTGAAAATAACTGTAGCTAGAGTACGCCTGAAGCAGTCTAAGCTTTGCTTAGTAAGTAGGACCATTGTTCCCTTAAGTTACTAATTTTTAGTAACAGATTAAGACTCTTTGGTTAGAAAAGAATCTTGTGGGCTGGAGATGTAGCTTGGTGCTAGCATGCTTGCCTAGGGTACGTTCATGAGGCCCTGGGTTTTACCCCCACCATTCTAAAAACAAACAAAAACAACCTTTGGCTTTATAGTTGGAAGAGTCTGTGAGTACCCTGTCATGGCACTTGTAGTACTTGTATTTTTGTCATAAAAAGTGAGAACTGAAAAAAACTACTAAGGAAAAGCAACCCAGAACAAAGGTGAGAAGCACCCATTAGTGTGGGGGAGTAAATAAGTTAGCTATTTCGCTGCCCTTTGCTTTCTTAGATAACACATTGGCCAGTAGTTCTAATCCGGGGCTGTTTTAAGAAATTTCCATGCTCTGTGTATGTCTTAAGCGAGTTTCTGTTTTGGTATGCGGGTGTCTGAGTTGGTGGTGTGAAAAACCATGAGTGTGATGCGGTAGGTTATTTCAAAGTGTACGGAAGTGTCTAACCTATATCTCTTTCTTTTTTAGGAAACTGAAAATGGCCCTTCAGCTATGCTAGGTCTATAATGGGAAGTGTCACAGTTCGATATTTCTGTTATGGGTGCCTTTTTACATCTGCGACCTGGACAGTCTTGCTTTTTGTTTATTTCAACTTCAGTGAAGTGACTCAGCCATTTAAGAATGTGCCCATCAAGGGGTCTGGACCTCACGGACCATTTCCCAAAAAATTCTATCCTCGTTTCACTAGAGGTCCAAGTAGAATGTTAGATCCACAGTTTAAGCCAAACAGAATTGATGATGTGATAGATAATCAAGTTGAAGATCCAGAAAAAGACCACCAGAAATTCTCTTCTGAATTGGGTAAGTACATTTGACTTTTACTGAAAGGGGTATCGGAGTGTTTAATCACTAGAAGTTTAATTATTCTTTAAATCATGTGTTTCTCAGATGGCCAGAAATGTGCAACCCCTCACCCCCTACCAGTTTGGTTGGGAATAGTTGAAATTGTATTGTTTTTGCACTCGGGGAGTTATGGTCAATTTTTTTTTTTTTTTTTTTTTTTTTTTTAGCTTTAACTTTAGTGTTTTATGGTGACTTGGGAAAAACAAGATTCAGGGAAGTAAAAAATGAAGACAATCTAGAAAGAAAATACTATAGAACCTACAGGAAAAAGTTTTTAAATTGCTAGGATAATTTGATAAGGGAAAGGATTGGTTGAGAGATGAGTGTATTTAACTTACTTTGAGACAGGATCTCACTGTGCAGTTTAGGCTGGCCTCAAGCTCACTTTGTCACCCAGGCTGGCCTCGAACTCACAATAATCTTCCTATGTTAGGCTCTCAAATGCTGGGATTACAGGCATGAGCCATATTGTCCGGCAGTTAACTGACTTTAAAGACAAAACTATAACATCATGAAGTGTTAGATTTAGAAGCTAAGATACCGGGGCCTGGGGATTTAGCTCAGCGGCATAAGCGCTTGCCTTGCAAGTGTGCAGTCGTGAGTTTGATCCCTGGTACCGATAAAAATGAAAAAGACAAAAAAAAGAAGCTAAGATACCTCATATCTAAGAAGATTTCCACTTATGACAATTAAGGTCCTAGAATAAATTAATGAATGAAAAAATATATAAAATAGTTTATGAAACCTGAGTATAAGATAGAAAGCTTCTTGATCCCCAAGTGTTTAAGTTGGAAGCAAGAGTCTACTGTGTGTGCCTTTGAATACAGCTCTGTAAGTCCTTGCTTTAGCAAATTTAAGGAACAAAGAGCGATTTTGGTTATCTTCAAAATGTAAAAAAAGAGCTTTGTCCTTGTCATAGCAACATCAAATAATTTAGAAGCAAAAGCACATAGTAATTGATTTTGAGAGATTGCAAGAGTTGTATCATAAGCAAATGTTAAAACAGACATTTCATTTGGTCAAGAGTTTTGGAGAAGTAAGTAAAGTTTTTAGGACCTAATGATTCTATAATAAATGAAGTCAATTAAAATTATATTGGAAACAAACTAATACCTCATGCAGCTTTTTCAAGCACTTTGCATCTTAAAAGTATTAGTAAGCCAGGTGTGGTGGCACATGCTTGTAATCCCAGCACTCGGGAGGCTGAGACACTTGGGATTGCTGTGAATTTGAGGCTACATAGTGAGTTCAAGGTTAGCTAAACTACATAGCAAAACCCTGTCTCCACACAAAAAAAGTAGTAGTAGTAGTAGTAGTAAAAATTATAGCTCTTTATTCATGTTTATTTTGGTAAAATTTTTATAAAGAAATAAAATTGAATTTACATTTTGAGCAAAGTTTGTATTTGAGTGAAGAAATATGGGAAAAATTAAATATATAGAATGACAAACACAGATTGCCTAAACAAAAAACTAAATTCATTATGGAAAATCCTAAAGAACCTACAAAATATACTAGTAAACAGTAAATGAATTTGGTAGTTACAGGATAGTAGATTAGCATGAAAAATCAGTTATATTTTTATATATTAGCAATGAATGGCCCAAAAACAAAATTATGAGAACAGTTCCATTTACAGTAGCAGCAGAAAGAATAATATGCTTATAAAGTGCATTTTAAAATGCCAAGTGAGTTTACACTAAAAGCCATAAAACAATGCTGAGAGACATGAAAGTAGACCTGTCCAAGTGGAAGGGTCCCATTACAGGGTGAATTAGAAAATGCTGCCAAGATGTCAGTACCACCCAAATGTGGCAATGTGTAGATTCATTGCCAGCTCTGTTAGGATCCCAGTGGCTTGACTGGAGAGAGTTATCCTCAGTAATAAGAAATTGCAAGAGGCCTTAAGAGCAAAACACTCTTGGAAAAGAACAGAGTTGGAGTTAGTTACAAAATTAACAGAACTTCTCTGGCATGCTAATTAATTGAGTTTGGCTATAATCATATTTATGCAAGGAAAAGGAAAAGTATGTTGAAATGGTCATTTAATTTGAATGATTTTTTGTGAAGAGCTCTCTATTAGAAAGTAGTTCTTTCAGCATTTGGTATGATACCTTTCTTTGTTGGATGGTTGTTGAATCAGGAATATTTATTGAGAATCTCTTGTGCAAGACATTGTGCCAGGTACTGGATACGAAAGCAGTTCTTACTTTGTTTCGAACATAGCCAAAGCCCCTTGCCTCATAAAGTTTCCATCCTCACAGAAAGAGCTGTGGGGATGGGTCGTGTGTTGAGATGGTTCCAGGGAGAAGGCCTGCGTGCTGCTTCCTCTGCGCTGTCAGTGTTCTGAGGGGTGGTGCATTGGCATTGCTGAGGTCCATGCCCATCCCATCACACAAAAGCTCAGGGCTGTCCTGTTGTAAAGAAAAGGCAAAATTCGACTTTGAGAGTTCAGTTTCCTAGACCATGAAATCTTCTGTTCTTTCTGACATCGTTAGCGTGCTGTGGAATTTGGTTTTCATGCACACATTTGGGAAATACTGTGAAGCTGGGAGTCAGCCTCAAAGGAGATGCTGAAGGCTTGATAGGGAAGGAGATGAGAAGAAGAGATGTTATTTTCAAAGATGAGAAGAGTTTATGCAAAGATGAGATTTCTGGAAGAGTATCAGAACAAGCATGTTTCATTATAGTGACCATGGTTAGAGCCAAACAGGAGTTTATAAGTGAAGCTGATTAAAGTCTGAAGCCAGAGTCTACAGAAGCTGCTTGCTTGCTTGCTTGCTTGCTTTCTTTCTTTCTTTCTTTTTCTTTCTTTCTTTCTTTCTTTCTTTCTTTCTTTCTTTCTTTCTTCCTTCTTTCCTTTGTTTCTTTCTTTCTTTCTTTCTTTCTTTCTTTCTTTCTTTCTTTCTTTCTCTTTCTTTCAGACAGGGTCTCATTATGCAGTTCAAGCTGGTGAAGCCTTTTTCATAGAAAGGTCTATCAGTAGCTGGGCTTGGTGGCTCACACCTGTAATCCCAGCACTCGAGAGGCTGAGGCAGGAGGATCATTGTGAGTTCAAGACCAGCCTAGACTACAAAGTGAGCTCAAGGCCAGCCTGAACTGCATTGCGAGACCCTGTCTCAAAAAGACCAAAAAAAAAAAAAAAAGAAAGAAAGAAAAAGAAAGGTTTATCAGTAGCTCTTTTGAGAGGCAGGGTTCATATTAAAACTTGCTAAGGTTAGGGCCTGTTGAGGTTCGTTGGGATTGAATAATCTGTTGCGCTTATGGAATTTTTATCGGTACCAGGGATCGAACTCATGTCTGCGTGCTTGCAAGGTGGGTGCTTATGCCGCTGAGCTAAATCCCCAGCCCACTCTTATGGAATATTATCAGAAATTTTTTTCTTAGTTGCAGATAAGTTTGTATCATAAATATAATAAAACGTTCTTCAGTTATGGCTGTGTGATCAGGGGTCCTTTATGGGTAAGGCATGCTTGTTTTATTTTGGCAGCTGAGAGTTTGACCCAAACCTCAATTTACTTATTTGAAACTGGAGACAACCTAGATCTGAGAAGCCTGGTCATGACCTGGTTGTAATAAAATCAAAGCAGTGGGAAGAATCTAGCATCATGCCAGTGAATGGTAGCTCTTTTCTGAGTACTGCGCTGACTGTAATTTCTCTGTTCTTTAGGTATGATTTTCAATGAGCGGGATCAGGAGTTGAGAGACTTGGGCTATCAGAAGCATGCCTTTAATGTGCTCATTAGTAACCGCCTGGGCTACCACAGAGACGTGCCCGACACGAGGAATGCAGCGTATGTGCCTTATTTGTTCGGCTGATATTTTTGTGACAGTTTTCAGTGCCAGTATAAAAATTTACGAAGATGCTGTTCAGATTTTACACTAGCACTCAGCATCCTGAAAACTGAGAGTTTGTCCTGGAAGCTGTGTGGTCTGTGATTGTACTGACAAAGTTCAGCCCCACAGTGCCCAGCTTCTTGACTTGCCTGGGCTGTAAGAGTGGAGAGGTGCTGTCTTGGATGGCATAAAAATGTATGATACAGTTTATGTACACAAGTAACAAACTATTTTAAAATATTTTTACTATTAAGATTTGAAAACGAGGCAATATAAACATAAAATTAGTGGGATATTTTGACGTAGGTTTTGTGAAACTTACATCAGCCAGTGATAGTTTTTTTTTTTTTAATTTAAAGAGAGAAGAAGAAAAAAAAGGACATAAAAAAAAAACAATGCAGTAAAAGGGTACAAATAATACAGTATTTCTAGAAAAAAATATATACAGTACGAAATCACCAGTTAACAGGCTACACATTATCTTCCCAGAAGCAGTTGTCCATATCACTAAATTAAAGCATATAAAAGTGAACATTCATTCAGTGGAATTGGAGACAGTTCCGTTCAATGATCCAACAACAGCTTAGTTATATGGTTTTCCATCCTACATTCTTGGAACATTCCTGCAGTTATATCCCTTAGTCCACCTTACTTTCCTCTCTTTTTTACAGTAATAATTAGACTTTTAGGATTTTATTACTCTCACGGTTCTTATTACTTTTTTGAAGAGAATAAAAACAAATGTGACTAAGCAAAACAGAGTCAGTTAGAACAGAAGGGTGGGCATAGCACGTGATGCAAAAATAGAATACCAGGTGATCAAAAGTGGTTACCATTGTGCCTCTTGCTATTTTCAAATTGAGTTGTCTGTATCATCAGGTATAATAGAATTGATCAAAACAATATGGAACAAAACTAATAAAATCTACACTGCAGACCTTACAGGATTTCAAAAAAAAAAAAAAAAAAAGGATGATAGTCCATCCATATTGGGCATCATAGTATATCTTATTGCCTTCAAAGTGATTGCCTATACCCTCAAACTTGATACTATCAAACAAAATAGAATATATAATAATAATCAGACAGAACAAGATGGGGAGAGCAATACTGGGGTTCAACTCAGGTTAATAGGACAACAAAAAAGTTACTATAATATGTCCCGTTATTCTTTAATTTAGTTTTCCCTTAATTAAAAAATGAGAGAAAATAGATTAATTTAAAAATAGGGGGAAGATTGAGATAAGAGAGGACATTGTAACAGAACAATGCAGAAGTCAGTGATAGTTTGAAGTGATTGCAACTTTTAGTTCTCACTGATCTCATCAGACATTTTTTTATTATTAACAAAACACTTTATTATAAACATCTCCAGAATATAAACTGATTTTGTATCAAGACTCTGAAACTTTTAGAACTATATGTTACATAAGCTTATTATAATATTCCACTTTTCAACCTAGAAAATATACTGCAAGTTAATGAGGGGGAAAAAAAAATCTAAACTTTTATAGAGAAACCCAATGAACATAAAAATACCCAACTCAGAGCTAAAACAAATCCAATCAAGAAATAGATTCTGCATAACAGATTAGTCCTCCAATTTAAAATAAATTATCTTCCAAGGGCAAATAATTCCACCATCGTGGCAATAAGTGGTTCTGGTTCTGAATAAACCAGAACCACTCTCCTAAAGGGAAATTATCTCAGATGTAAAAAAAATATAATAATGCTTTTAAAAAACAAGGAAAAGTAATTTTGACATTGGACAGCAAGCACCCTAAATACTTCTGTTCACCTGGCCTTTGTTAGAGTTAAACCACCTGCTCACTTAAGTGACTGGAACGTGAGTATCATAACACTGAGCTCCTCAACTGGTTTTCAGTTGCAGCCTCAGGAGAACCGACTAAGGAGCTCCAGAACCCAAGGGCAGACTGGTCCCAAAGCACTTCCTCCTCTGTTCCATCTTCACTTTGCCCCTTTTATTCCTTCCTGTACTCGCAGTCTTCCTCCCTAGAGTCTATGTCTCGGCTTTTTTCCTCCTTTTGATTCTCTAGCTTTTCTGTACCACCCTGCACAGGCTCTGCTCCACCTCTGTTTTCTTTCTTGGTTTGTTCTCGTGCTCTTCTAAATCCACCTCCTCAAAACTTCTTTTCCTAGCCGGGCATGGTGGCTCACGCCTGTAATCCCAGCACTCTTGGGAGGCTGAGGCAGGAGGATCCTTTGGAGTTCGATACCAGCCTGGGCTACAAAGGCCAGCCTGAACTGCATAGTGAGACCTTGTCTCAAAAAGACAAAAAAACCCTTCTCTTCCTCTTGTGCTTGGGCCACTCCTCCTCTGGTTTTCCTTTGCCTTCCTCTGATGACTGGCTTGATGGGCACCAGTCCTGGTTCCTGAGGAGAGGCGCTTGGGGCCTCCTGAGTCTACACTGGCTGAACTGTGATTATACTCTTGCTGGCTGAGGTTCAGCGGTGCTGGGTTTTCTGAGAAAGAGTCCCTGGGGAGCCTACAGTAGCTCAGAGGCTCTAGTCTCAGCCTGTTATCATGAGCTGGGAACCACTGAGGTAATCGGTTTTCTGTGGGAAATATTGCGTGATCCTGGCTAAGTGTGGATGGTTCCAGATGGGAGTCTTTGATCAAATATTTGAAATCTGGAATCAGCTTCCTCCTGGTACCCACAGCTTTCCAAGGAGTTCTCCCTCATTTTTCTGAAACAAGTCTTTGGCCCTAAGCCTCTGGCTTTTGCCCTGTAATATAATCTTCAAGTTTGTCTTGAAGAGTCTTACGGTTTTAAATGCTTCATTAGGTTGACAAAAAGAGATTCTCTTTGTCAGGCTAGAACTGGCTGGAGAAATCTGCTCATAGTTACCTAGCAGTTGCTTCAGTTTTTCAGCATGACCTACTCCTAAGTAGACTGATGGGGGAGCCAAAAATTACGATGCAGAGATTACAACATTTATTTTTGTCCAAAATTCTACTCCCGTTCACCTATAATATAAAATCTTTCATTATTCAAACTGTAGCACAGCTCACCTGTCAGTTCAGTCTTTCTTCGTTCCCTGTGGCATCTCGCCAAGGCAGCGACAAGGTCTGCAGCTCCTGTCCCCTCCCGTCAGTGCCCCTGGCCGGAGCACTGGTGATGGTGGAGGGGTCGGGAAGCAGGAACCGTCACTGCCACAGCTGCAGCTACCACTGCTGCCGCCGCTGCTGACAGCCTCCTCAGAAGTTTTTGATCTAATTGTACTCTGCCTGTGCTTTATTCTTAAAACAGGTGTTCACAAACGTATGTACCACTAACAATGTTGGCAGACCTTAGGTGTGATTGTGAAGTGAGGGATGTCCTCTCAGAAAATGCATCTTGATGAAAGATAGAAGAGCAGGATCAAATTTTTCTTAGGGTTGCATGTCCAATTGCAGTCATGTACATTCCAAAAATTAACAATCATTTATTTTTTTAATGTCAGCAGTGTTCTGTATGTAATTTTAACAGAGTCTTGAGCAAAAATCTATTTGAAAATATTTTTGTACTTCCTTTGTACCACAGCTAGTAAAAAGTTACTTTGACTTCAGAAATAATAACAAACCCAAGTTTAATAGTTAGGGAAGAAGACTCCCATAGCAGCAGCAGATGCCTGTCTTGCAGGCGTACACGCGCAGGGAGGCAGGGCTGCTGTGTGTCACGGCTGAGCTGCTCAGGCACAGAGGCTGTGGCTCTCCGCTCCCCACACAGTGTTCCGTTGTCCCCTGCACAGCCGTGCTCTAGGGCTGTGCAGTGGAGCCATGAAGAAGATCTCTAAGAACCACAGGCAGTGTTAAAGGTTTACAGTTCTGCGGGGGCCATGTTACTAGCTGTCCAGGACCACGTGTGGCCAGAGGCTGCGGGCTGGACACACATGTTGTGTGTTGCATTTCACACAAGTGGGGAGAGACGAGGGGCTAGAAGTGAAAGCTGGAGCTAAAGCTTGTTTTAAATGCTGATTTATTCATAGTAAAGGGGAATTGAAACCGGCCAACAATTATTTGACTTCATCGGTTCTGTTCCATTAGCTTTTTTCTTTCAAAGACTTTTCATGATAGTTTCTCACACACATGTTTTCTGGGTACCTCTGTTGTGCACCGCATTAGGGCCTGGAAGTAATGGGATAAGATGTGATTCCTGGTGCGTGGATTTAGGGCCTGGGAGGAGACAGGTAATCAGTGAGGAGCCAGCGGCACCTGTGAGGGCTGCGATTGGCATCATAGGAGTCGGTGGGACCAGGGCCCAGCCCAGCCCAGCCCAGCCCGGCCTTTCCATGTGCACTATGGAGTGGGCACCCTGCGTTCTGGGGGGGCACTAAGCCTGGGCCAGTGCAGCTGTGGCAAGAGTGGCAGGAACCAAAGCCAGGCTTCAGTGCCGACCAGGAAAGTGTGCAGGACTCTGGGCTTACTGGGTGTTTTGTTGTTATCTCTACCCCTGTTTATCAAATACACACTTCCGCCTGCGGAAGACTCTTCCATTGCCTTGGCATATTATGATTTACTCGAATTTTGCGGTATTACTGAGTGAAAGTAAACCTTTGAAATACAGTTTTATAGTTTCTACTTCCTTTTGAAACCTCATTAAGGAAAAGCTAAACATCAGCTTATGAATGCTGCCTCACAGACTTGCAGTAATTTCTGGAAGTGCTGTTGGGTGTGGCTCAGAAACAAAACAACCAACAAAAAAGAAAACTTACAATAACTTCCCTACAAAAAAGGGAGGAAATGTGGAGTTTTAAAGCTTTGGACCTCAAAGGGTGGTGGTACACACCTGCCATCCCAGCACTTGGGAGGCTGAGGCAGGAGGTTCGGTGCAAGTTTGAGACCAGCCTGGACTACAAAGTGAGCCCAAGGCCAGCCTGAACTGCGTAGTGAGACCCTGTCTCAAAAAGACAAAACAAACAAAAATAATAATAAACCAGTGTTTTCTTATGAGCCTTTAAAACGATTATTATAAAGTAAGCAGCTGAACAAGAGGACAGTGTGTATAGTGAGAAACAATCTGGGGCCTTCACACTGTTAAAGTGCCCGCTTTTCTTTGTGTTTGTCTGTACAGATGTAAAGAGCAGTCGTACCCAGCCGACCTGCCAGTAGCTAGTGTTGTTATCTGTTTCTACAATGAAGCTTTCTCTGCCCTGCTCCGGACCGTACACAGTGTGCTGGACCGAACACCTGCCTACCTGCTCCATGAAATCATCCTTGTGGATGACGACAGTGACTTTGGTAAGGGAGTGTCCAGAGATGACCAGCAAAGGCCCTGGGCCCGTGGCTATGTGCTGAGTATCCTGGGTCACGGACCTGTGCACTGACAGCCAGTTATTGGAGGAGAGCCTGACCCTGCCAGCTTTCTACAGCTGTGCTACCCAGACTTGGCTCTTACAGTTTTTCCTTGGTTTACTTAAAAAATTATTACAAAATAATTGTAGATTCTCAGGAGGTTACAAACAGGTGCTGTTTAGCCACCACCCAGGGTCCCCTTGGGTCTGGTTTCCTCTTACACAGTTATAGTGCAGTGCAGAATGCAACAGGAAGTCCCCCTGGTAAAGTACAGCGTCACCTTTCTCTTAACTGTGACGTGGCACCTGAGAGTGACACCTGGAAGGAGGCAGGTTTATTTTGCCTCTTTGGTCAGCTGGCTCTGTTCCTTTTACGCCAGTTATGCCAGCAGCCAAGAGGCTGAAAGACAGAGGGTGAGAGCCTGTGTCCGCAGGGACAAGATCCTATCCCAAGACCCACGTCCTTCAACCACCTACATTCCGTTCCTTCCTGGTGATGCCACCAAATAAAGACTCGGGGGACTAACCCACAGAGGAAGTTGGAGCCCTTCCGATCTAATCATTTTCTAAAGGCCACCTGTAGACACTGCTGAGCCTCAGGGCCAGTTGTGTCCATGCTGTGATCATCCCAAGATCCACTCCACTCCTGTCCTCACTATCCCAAACATAGGGCTGCTGCTTACCCTCCACTTTGTCATTTCAGATGGGTTAAATAAACGCAGTCACTCGGTGTACGCTCTTCAGATGGACACAGTGCCTCAGTCTCCTTGTCTACTGGGTCTCTTCTGCCAGCTCTCCCCACCCAGCCAGGTTGCATTCTAATAGCTCATAGATGGTCTTCGTGTGCCAGGGTTTTAGGGTTCACTCCGTATTTCACACACCTCTGTAGATTAGTACCTGGGACAGCTTCACATACACAAGCAGGATGAAGATTTGACTCGTTCAGCTCTCGGGCACCTTCCAGGGTGGGTGGGAGCCCGATAGAGAGCAGGAAGTACAAGGGTCTTGAGACCTGCAGCTGTGAAGCACAGCTCCCAGACTGCTCTTTCCACATTGCCCTGTAGAAGTACAGTGACCTTTGCATGCAGTCCGGACCCACTGGGCACCTTAGAGCCGTGAGGAGCAGGTCCCAGTGTGCCTGATATGGGGGTCAGGAGTGCTGACACCCAGGAGCCAGGTTCTTAGACTCTGGTAAATTCTAAACTCGGAGAGAAAAATTAAAGGTTTTCAGAATTTATTTACAAAAATGTGTGATTAAAAAAATAAGCAAATCTGAGTCTGGAGCACATAAAAGAAACATGTGCCAAATTCTGCAAAGTATGGTGCATATATATATGTGTGTGTATTTTCTTTTTTTTTTTTTTGAAATGGAGTCTTGCAGAATTGCTCAGTCCAACCTGGAATTCCTGGGCTCAAGAGACCTTCTGCCTCAGCCTCCCAGGTAGTTAGGGCTTCAGGCAGGTACTACCATGCTCAACTTGACTTTTTTTTTTTTTTTTTTTTCAGCCTGTTGTTTGGTTTTCATTTTGGGCTGCTTTATTCTAAAAGAAAAAATTCGTGATGACTTACAGGAGTTTGTGTACTATGGAACAAATTACTGTTTACTATCTTATATAATTTTTAACATTATTATAAAATTTAAAGGTGAATGAATGACCTGAAATTCATAAAAATATTTGAAGCCACCAGACATCATGATGCATGCCAGTAATCCCTGCACTCAGAAGCTGAGACAGGAGTTTCACTGTGAGTTCAAGGCCAGCTGGATTACATAGTGGGACCCTGTGACAAAAATCAAAACCAAAAAACAAACAAACAAACATAAGAAAGAAAGAGACTGAGTAAAAAACAAGACCTAGAGTATTTTCTTTGTTAAAAAAAATTGATGCCTTTGGAAGAAAGGCACTAAATAAAGAGGTCATGTTTACTGCTGCTATTGTGTAATTCTTGGTAGAGGCAATAAAAATTATTTCTCAAGTATTCTGAAATGGAGTATGGTGCAGGTCTTGGTAGTCGGAAGCCTCCGACATCTGTCCCTGTGCGAGCACAGCTTCCGTGCAGCAGCAGCAGCTAACGTGCACTTGGGAGACACCTTCACACCGTGTCCACACAGGCGTGGTGCTGAGGTGTGGTGGAAACCAAATCCCCAGCCATGGCGCCACCTTCTCTCGGCTGTGCTCGAGCTCCCCTGTCACTGTTTTTCTTCCTAGCAAAGCAGAAGATTCTGTGTTTGCTTGATAGTTTGCTGTGGAGTTTTGCGTATATGATTCGCTACACTAGAAAAGCCAGAAGGTGTTTGGATGGGTCTCCTATAGCTTCTGGGCTACGGTTCCTTGGCTGTTTTTAGAGACAGAATCTTGCTGTGTACTGAGGCAACCTTGAACCTGTTGTCTAGTGTCTCATGGTTTGAGTAACTATGAAACTGTTTTTCAGATGATTTAAAAGGAGAACTTGATGAGTATGTCCAAAAGTCCCTCCCCACAAAGATTAAAGTCATCAGAAATGCAAAGCGAGAGGGGTTGATTCGTGGAAGAATGATTGGAGCAGCCCACGCTACAGGTAGGATGGCATGTTTCCTTTCTCTGTGGGGCCGGGGCCAGGTGCTGGCCCTTGTAGTCTCTCCTGCTCATGCAGGAGTTCCAGAAGCCCAGCATGTAATCAGCATTGGCGGCTGGAGCAGTGAGCATGGGCAGCTTGGAAAGCCCTTTTCCCAACGGCCGCCCTGCTGCCCAAGCGGAGAGCACAGTGACCTCACTAGTGTTTTCATTTGTCTGTAAACAGAAAAATTCAAACCAAAATGTAACAGAACTTTTCTCTTTTTAAATACAAAACCTCAAATACTTGAACCCAAACCCTTTGCTTGGATTACGCTAATAATTCGTAGTGTAGAGGACATACTCTCTCTGAGACGTAATTGTGATTTTAGTGGCTAAGACCCTATTTCCTCCAAACCAAGACGTAACTGTAGAATACCCAGCCTTGAAAACTACAGATCAGAAACGCTGCCCCCGCCGGCCTGCCCTCGCCTCACCTGCCGTCACTCCTCTTTTGCTCCAAGACTCCTCCACAAGGCAGGTGAGGTGAGGACGGCTGATTCCACTTGGCGGTTTGATCTCTAGTTTCCCAGGCTGATGATTTTCCAGTTGGATCTTGTGGGAGGTCAATATTGGATTTATTTCCATTATTATTAGAAAAGACGTTTCTTAAAAATTCCCTGGTGATCCTTCTGATTTAGTAAGGAGAAAGTTCTGTTATTAATAGATCTTAACACAGTGATCTCTGTGTCTTCTCTAAAAAGGAGGAAGTCTTCTGCAGGGTGGTTAGGGTTCATGTGTACTGACTTTACAGCATTTCTTTTTATGGAAAGAACCATGTTGGTTCTTCAGGTTGGTAGTCCTGATTCTCTTTTATGGTCCTTGTAAAATTTTTTTTTCCTTTTAAAATGAATTTCAATTCAAACATGAACCCAGAGCAACCTATTCAGGACCCCTCCTGTCTCTCAGGAACTATTCCTTTTCTCCAATACGTTTTCCTACTCTTAACCTCCAAAAAAAAAAGAATCCCTTTAAAAGTATTTGGTATTTAATAATTAGCCACAGTGGCGGGGGGTTCCCTGGTGATAGCACCTGCCATGGGCTGTGTCCCTGCTGCCCAAGGGACCGGCCCCGGGGTCCTGGCACTCAGAGATTGTGGCTGAGCCGCCGCTGCCGGTCCCATTGCCTGGGTTCACTTGGGGCTTCACTTCCAGCACATTTCCCCCCACTTGAACTTCAGTGATCGGAAGCAGCCAACAGAGCCTGAGCAGTGGCTCCTTGGGGTCTGTCTGAGCCATGGGTGTTGAGTGAGCGCCCTAGATTCTGGTCAAAGTCCTGTTGAGCAGCCACTGAGCTGAGATCCTGACAGTAAGAAAGAGCAAATGGGCTGCTGATCCGTTGTGCTGTTACAGTGTGTATTTACTGTGAACCTTTTTTCAGATACAAACAGTGCTCTAGCTCTTTTTTTTTTTTTTTTTTGGTCTTTTTTCCTTTTTATCGGTACCAGGGATCGAACTCACGACTGCCTGCTTGCAAGGCAGGCGCTTACGCCGCTGAGCTAAACCCCCAGCCCCCAGTGCTCTAGCTCTTGATTCTAACTGGTCAGGTCCTTGTTCAGACACAGTGTGGGGTTTGTCAGAAGGAAGATGTCGCTGTGGCAGGTGCAGTGTGAACAGATTAAGTCTTACTTTATGTAGCTAAGTCGGCATCAGTAGGAAAAGTAACACTTTTGGAAGAAAGCTGTGAATACTTTTCTTCCCTAACCTTGAATACACTCATCTTGCTTCAGGTTGATTAACGTCCACCCCAGGCATCTTGCCTTTCTGCAGTCCAGGACGGCCAGAGAACGGTAGACAGTTTATCCCCTCAGGTCATTTGTGAACTACAGAACTAGCTCAGTGTCATCACTGAAGACTTCCTGAAGTCTCACTTTTATGAGAGTGGAAGTTGAATACATTTGATGGTTTAGTATTCATGTGAAATCCACACTGATACGTCATGCAGACACATTTAGGCCAGTAATGCTCTCTCATGCTTGCATTTAAGTCTCTCAGCTGCTCAAAATAACCTTGAAGTTATTAAATAATTTGGGATTATCAAAACCAGAAATGCTCATTCTTGCCTGCATTGGTCAGAGGAGGTGACGGTGCAGGTAACATTTTACAACCTTGCTTCCAGAGGAAGGAGGACTGGCTTGGAGCTAGGCAGGAGGGGCGTTGGTGAGTCCGCAAAGGTGCCAGCCCTGCACTGCCTGTGCCAGTCCCCCTGAGTCTTTGCCCTTGGCTTCTGCAGGAGAAGTCCTCGTGTTCCTGGACAGCCATTGCGAGGTGAATGAGATGTGGCTGCAGCCCCTGCTGGCCACCATCCGCGGGGACCCACACACAGTGGTGTGCCCGGTGATTGACATCATCAGCGCCGACACGCTGGCCTACAGCTCATCTCCTGTCGTGCGGGGCGGATTCAACTGGGGGCTGCACTTCAAGTGGGACCTCGTTCCGCTCTCTGAGCTGGGAGGAGAGGATGGGGCCACTGCACCGATCAAGTAAGAATTTCTGTGGTTGGGGGCCCAGCCCCCTCTCAGCACGAGACTTAGGTGAAACATCATTCCTTCCTCAGCAGGAGCAAAACTGCCGGCCTGATTTTTCCCTCTAAAAGTCCTGAGGGCTTGTCAGATTTTCTGTGCTCCACCACATCATGCCATAGGGAAAGAGCACTGGGTAAGGATTATCCAGACCGAAGGCACAGTCGTGAGAGCAGACACAGGGACACAGGGTCCCGCTGACAGGTGCTCGGACACCGGGAGCACTCATGTGCTGCCTGTAGGTCCACTGTGTGGTCTCTCATGTCGGACACTAACCTGTTGAGTTCTTTGCCGTAGGCCGAGTATACTTTGGACATAGAGTGCTTGAGATCAGATGTGTTTCAGATTTGGGATTTGTGCTGGGTTTTTTTTTTTTTTTGTCTTTTTATCGGTACCAGGGATCAAACTCACGACTGCCTGCTTGCAAGGCAGGCGCTTATGCCGCCGAGCTAAATCCCCAGCCCCCTGTGCTGGGTTTTGTAACATTTACACATACGTGATGAGACATCTTGGCAGTGGGACCCCAGTCCGAAAGCAGGGTTCACTCCTGTTTCTCATGCACGTTACCCCTGTAGCCTGAAGGTGACTGTGTACAGTGTCCTCGGTACTGGTCACCAGAGGCCGGTGTGGGGTTGGCCACTTAGGGTATCATGCAGTACCCAGAAAGTTTTGGGTTTAGAATGTTTCTGCTTTTTTGGATGAGAGATGTTCCATTTCTGGTAGGGAAAGTGCTGTGAAGAACAGTGATCCATACGCCTTCTTTAACTGGGGCTTCAACATGTGGGTGTCAGTGGTGCCATTCCTCAGAATCTGTACCTGAACCTCTCAGGACTCGTGCGTGTCGGTGTTAGAGCACTTTGTGTGTCATTTCGCCTTTCCTTGTAGACTTCAGGGAAGTTGGTGTTTTTAAAGTTCTCAGGCCTATTCTTTCATCTTACTGTGAAAAGTAAGTAGCACATAGCTCAAAGTGCATCTGCAGTGCACACACATACACACACATAACCCACCACGTGGAGATGACAGGGCGCCTGGGTCACCACACCAGGACCCTGTGCCTCACGCAGAGCTCGTTACCCGTCCTGGTGGACATGACCTGGCTTTCTGTGTAGTTTCACCACTGTGGGTGATCTCTGGACAGAATGGTTTAGTTTGGCCAGCTCTCGTACTTTATATAAACAAGGCCATTTGATTCGGCTTCATTTTAAAAAGTCTTCCTCGTTAGGCATCCACAGTTGGTGGCTGTATCTGTTGCTGCGAGCGGTCTGTCATGTGAGTGTAGCAGAGTTCTGCTGTGTGTGTCTGGCTGAGGCTGTGTGTCGGGCTGTGTTGTGCTATAACAAGAAGACAGAGGTGTTATAGAACATTCTCCCCTTGGGCTTCGGTTTAGGGGTGGCGCCTGTTCAGTTACTGGGTGATCCACTGTGACCATGGAGCTGTCCTCTTGATGGCCAGGGGACTAGATTGGCTCGGCAGCCTGCTGGCGTCTTTTAGCTTGTTTCGTGTCCCTGTGAGCCTGCCCAGGTGGGGCAGTGTCTAGGCTCTGGTGTAGCCTGGGGTTCTGGGGAAGTGCTGCCACTTGGTCTAGCGAAGGCATTCAGCAGGCAGTTACACTCATCTCTCCTGGGGGCCCTGGCATGGCTCTCTGGGAGCAGAGCACCCCTCCACAGAGAGCAGCACTCGGGGCCCGCGCCACTGCCTGCCCCTGCTCCCTGAAAGCTTGTGCTGTGCCTGGGGCAGAGGGCAGCAGTGACTGCGTCTTCCTGTCCTCTGGAGCCTGTGTGTTCCTTTCCCAACGTGTGAAGTTTTCTACTGCAGAAAGAGGGTACCTGAGGCTTTGCGTGTTTATTCTCATCCTTAGCCTTTAAGCTGCCGGATTTAGTCTTTCTCCGAGTTTCATCATCTTCATAGCTACGGTTTTTATGGCTTCATTTTAAAAATTGTTTTTAATCAGATTTATAATCAGTACCAGGTCATGCCATGAGGAACCTAGGGTGAGACCTGGCTGTCCTCTGCCCCTTTTCCCACAGCCGTTCTGCTCTTCCTTCCTGAACTCTGGGTAGTAACTGTGGTCCTTGCCTCATGAGGCCCTAATGAGGAGAACGAGGGAACATGGCACCCTGGCCGGCCGCGCTCGTTTGTAGCTGCTGTGCGGCCGCTCATCTCTCCTTTCACCATCAGGCTGCTGTGTTCTTACACTTAGATCTGTCCACAAGAGCTGTGGGCAGTTGATTGCATATTTCGAAGCCAGTGTGAAGGACGATTTTGAGATTACAGTAGCACTGTCTGCTTTGTCTGCCCCCTCCCTGTCCTGAACCAGTCCAGGTATCGTCTATTCCCAGTTGGGCCCCATCACTAGGAGGACACTTCTCGTGTCCTGGGCACCTGGAGGACGCAGCGCATGTCCTTGATGTGTCCAGGTGCAGTGTCAGTCGGCACTCTCCTTGGGCATTGTGTAGGTCTCAGCAGGTCTCTCCTGCGGCCGTGCCCGGCTGGCTCCGTGTGCTGCTGGCTGAGGGCTCTACCTGCAGGCATCTCCAGCAGCCCCAGCTCCTGTGAGCGCCCCATGGTCGTGCACACACTTTTCTGCCTGGAGTTGCTTCTTCTGGCTCAGCAGTGCTGCTCAGCCTTCCCTGTGATTCTTCCTCTGGTTGCTCCTCTGTGTCATCATCACGCTTTGGTCTTCCTGACAGTTGGCAGCATCTCACTGCGAAGCCAGGTTGGCTGGAATTCGTGACACCTCTGAGTGCGGGGAGTGCAGGTGGGCACCACCATGCCTGCCTTCACCATTAGAAAAGACTCCTGCCCCTGATCAGGTGGGAGATGACCGGAGCTTTTTAGGACTTCACAGATGTGGTCAGAATCTCTGGCTTCCTCAGTTTCAGAGGCAAAGTTAGTGTCTGTTTTACTTTCACTTTAAGATAACCTCTTTTTCATTGACTCCTTTATTCTGATTTTTCAGAAAGCTTTTTTAGACATGTGTAAACATAGTTCATTTTCAGACTGTATCTACTTCTCTGCCAAACTCTGTTTTTTATTGTTGAAAAAATGCACTGAATTGGTTTTCTCTGTCTCTTTCTCTGTCTCTGTCTCTCTCTCTAACTTTCTGGATGCCTGGCCTTTTGCTTGCTCTTGTACTTTGGTATAACACAGATAGTACACAGTCCTTGCACAGGCAGTTTGAATCACTGATAGCCCTGGCCTTCAGTGCAGCTTCGAAGAGGACGCGTGGGAGCCAGCCTGAGCCCTGTTGGTCTGCCTCCCTGTACCCCTGTATCCCTGTACCCAGCACCGGGCTCACAGCAGCCTCCATACCACTGACACATTGGGCTGCCTGTGTGCGTTCGCTTGGTGCCGTCCTGGCCATGGCCCCTCCAGCCACTACATGCCAGGTTGTGACAGCCGAGTAAATGCTCCAGACATTACAGACCATCTTCCAGGGGTCAGAGCCAGCCCACTGTGGCCACTGCTCACACAGGTGACTAACTCAGAGCGTGTAGGGCCGGCGCAGACCCCCGGCAGACCCGGAAGTCTCTGTGAGGGTCAGGGCCGGATCTGCTTCAGGTGGGTTTCTGTCAGACACGGCTGGAGTTCAGAAATGCTTCTGATACTTAAATTATGTGGATGTGAAGGTTTGCTTTTCTTTCACTAGCAATCTAGGTATTTCAGTTGTGTGGTCCAGTTCCTTTCCTGATACTCGGGGATGTGCTTTATAGAAACCTGTTGTCTGTGTTCCCATTACACTGAATTTGACACACAAGGTTAGGCCGAAACTGGCTTTTCCTTTCCTAGGTCCCCTACAATGGCTGGAGGACTGTTTGCCATGAACAGGCAGTATTTCAACGAGCTCGGTCAGTACGACAGTGGCATGGATATCTGGGGAGGAGAGAACCTGGAAATATCATTTCGGGTAATTTTGTGTGTGTGCACTTGTTTCGTGTGTAGTGAAATGTAATTGTCATCCCTCAGGCCATATTTTCTATAAATCTTTTATTTTATTGACGGATTTCCGTGGTGAATGCTACTTTACATAATCTCTGGTATGAATATTATCTGTTTAGAAAGCGAAAAGCATAGAAGAACACATTTATTTTGTAATTTTTTGTTTTTTTAATTTTTAAGATTTTTTTGTCTTTTTGAGACAGAGTTTTACTTGTAGTTCAGGCTGACCTAGAACTCAAGTTTGTAGCCCAGGCTGGCCTGGAACTTGCAGCAATCCTGCTACAGCCTCCTGAGTGCTGGGATTACAGGCATGCACCACCAAACCGGGCTTGTGTAGTTTTTAAATTAATTGTAATGAATGGTTGAGCATAGAAGCCTTGACAGTAGGGTGGGGCCTGGGACTCAGGACTGGGGAAAAGGTGACCTTGAGGAGAGGACAAGGGGCGAGGGAGCCCCTGTGCTTTGCAGAGATATTTGAAGCTCTCGGAAAAGTGTCCCATTTTCCCTACCTCACCCGGTTCCAGCAGCAGAGTCCCTGTCACATCATTCCACACTGCTCATGCCACACTGGTGTTAAAAGCCAGTAGTTGTTTTTTTTTTTTTTTGTACTGGGAATCAAACTCATGACCTTGCGCTTGCCAGGCAGGCACTTAAGCCACTGAGCTAAATCCCCAGCCCAAGCCAGTAGTTTTTCAGTTTCTAGAACTGTAAGGTTGAAAGGAATCCATTTGTCTCTCTTCAAGATAAGGTAATAGAGTCCCACCAAAATTAACAGTACCCTAAAGTAATTCATATACCTAAGGGCACAGTTTAGACCAGAACTAAGGTCTTGTGAATTTCAACGCAGTCTATATAAAAGTGTTTTTCAAAATAAGTATACTTTTTTTAAAATAAGGAAGTAACTTAAACACTGAAATGAGGAGACAGGGTAATATGAACTCTGTCTGAAACTCCCTTGATCCAAGCAGCCAAGAATGGGAAGCCCAGTTTCAGACACATGACAGCAAATCAATAGTGCCCTGCCGTAGAGGTTCGTTCATTTCAGAGAGACGCAATTTTTACCATGCTTCCCCACACTTTTCTTCTGCTGTGTGAGAACCTTGTGACACTCATAAACACCAGTTAATGATTGATTTCATGGAAACCCACCCTTGGTTTCCCAGCAGTGGGAGGCAGCAGATAACCGTCTTTACTTTTGGCCAGATCTGGATGTGTGGGGGGAAACTCTTCATCATCCCCTGCTCGAGGGTGGGACACATCTTCCGGAAGAGGCGGCCCTACGGCTCTCCCGAGGGCCAGGACACCATGACACACAACTCCCTGAGGCTGGCGCACGTCTGGCTGGATGAGTACAAGGTGCGGAGGGGCAGGCTGTGGGTGGATTGGGGTGCCTTTCCTTTCACGCTCCTGAATTTCTGCTTGGCTGGCCTTCACATTAGGGCACCTGTTAGGAGCAGCACCGCTGTGCTTGTTTGTGAGCCCACACCATGCAGGGCTCTGTGTTGGGGTTTGGGGGTAGAGGACGAATGGGGATTTGTGGGTACTTGGGTGCTGTCAGAGAGCGAAGTGAGCAGCAGCTCCGGCGCTTGTACACTGCTGTCCCCTCCTTGTGCTTGAGGGCCAGCCATGTCCACACCCCGGGGTCTGCCTGTGCCAGGCTGGTACAGGCCTGACATCCACTGAGGGTGCCGATCCTGCAGGGGACACTGCAGTCCCGGGGCTGTACCACCACGCGGTAGGGAAAAGAGACGCTGGTCTCCGTCACCACTGTGAGTGACGAGAGTGCAGAGGACGAGGTGCAGCCACTGGGGAGCTGGGAGCCGAGCAGCTGCTCTCCAGGGACTTCTCCCTCTGAGGAGGCCTTCCTTAGAGGTGACGCAAGGGGTGAAAGACACCTGGTGGTGTCTGCTGCACATGATCAAATGTAGGCTCTGAAGGACTGTGAAGAATTCACCCACCGCCTCATGCTCAGTGGCATCTGCCTGTGACTGGCCGTGAGCCCAGTGATGTTAGAAACACAGTTTAAATACTGTAGGGTGGTATCTGTCAGGACTTGGAACAAACTACCTAAGTCAGTGGGCCAGTGTTGCCCTTTGTAATAGTTATTTATTTATTTATTTTTGCCTTTTGGGGGGGCAGGGTCTCACTATGCAGTCAGGCTAGCCTTGAACTCACTTTGTAACCTAGGCTGGCCTTGAACTTGCAGCGATCTTGCTGCCTCAGCCTTCCAATAAATCTTTTCATGTTTGTTTTTACTAGTCCATATTTGTGGTACATAGTGAATACATTCTGCATGCATGTATCAAATCTTAATCCTGCTGGCCAGTTTTTTCCAAATGACTAATGTGAAAATCTTGGATGTTAGGTAAAAAGTCATTCAAAACCCAAGATAGATCAGATTTTAATGCAAAAAGATGAAAATGTCAATACTATTTTTTATTCTGTTATAATGATACTTTAAAAATCATTGACTTTTGATGTAAAATAAGAAGCCCAGAAATGCTGCTCTGTTTTCAACTACCTGGTTTCTGGAGGTTGTACTTACAAAGACTTGTTCAACCAAAACAACATAGAACAGTAAACTAAACGTATGAAACAGCCCGGGGGTAAAACATTTTGCAAAAGTGTAAAGCAAATGGCACTGTTCAATACTTGTGCATCTCTCAGTTCTGATTTGTAGTGTCAGTGCATCCCAAGAGAAGCTCCTGGGAGTCCTTAGTAGCTGTTCAGAGGGTTTGATGGAGTCCCAGTGTCCTGAGAGCCACTGGCCCACACAGCCCACCTCACTGGGGACAAGATAAGCAGTGCCACCATTTTGCCCTCCCTGAAACTGGGATGTGCTGCATGTTTAACACGTCACGCTGTCTGCCGACCACAGACCAACGGGTGTGAGAATCTCCCATCGGTGCTCTGGCATCACCAAGACAACACTGGGATGAGAAATACTTTTGTACACAGCCCAGTACTTTTAGCTGTTCTTTAAATTTCAAATACGATTGCTTAATAGTTCATTTGTATCCCTCCAAAACCCAGGATCAGTATTTTTCTTTGAGACCTGACCTCAAGACCAAAAGCTACGGGAACATCAGCGAGCGTGTAGAGCTGCGGAAGAGGCTGGGCTGCCGGTCATTCAAGTGGTATCTGGATAACATCTACCCGGAAATGCAGGTCCAGGGGCCCAATGCCAAAGCCCAGCAGCCCGTCTTCGTTAACAGGGGGCCCAAGCGCCCCAGAGTCCTGCGGCGTGGACGGGTAAGTGGTGGCTGGAGTGTCACAGTTGGGGATGGTGCTGAGTGGTATTAAGTGACTTCATGATGGAGCAAGTGTAGGTTTAACTACACACTCTGTGTGGCACCCTCTTCTCAGATATCAGGGCGCAGTGTCCTTGGTTGGCCCTAAAAAAGGACACATGGCCACTTCCATGCATGTGTTAGGTGCTCTCAAGCGAAAGGCGCTTTTGTGCCCGCACTGAAACCCTTGCTTCCGGGACTTACTGCGGGTCTTACACCCAGCCACCTGCCACATTTTGTACCTTTCGCGCTCCTCTCTTGATTTCTCTTTAGCTGCCTCAGGGTGGGATGGTATTTCCTTCATCCCTTATATTTGGTAATGGCTGTGTTTCGTCCTAGAATTTCTGTTCGCACTGCCTGCCTCTGCGCAGACTGCTAGAACACTGGTGCTTAAGTGTTTAAGGGGCTCGACACGCGGCGTCCTCCGCCGGCTGCCTCTGTGCAGAGCACTCAGGAGCTTCCTCTCTTCCAGCTCTATCACTTTCAGACCAACAAATGTCTGGTGGCCCAGGGACGCCCAAGCCAGAAGGGCAGCCTCGTGGTGCTCAAGGCCTGTGACTACAGAGACCCGGCTCAGGTGAGTGGTGTCCTCCAGGAGAGCCGGCCAGGCTGAGGGCATCTGTGGATGAATCGTCCGACTCTCCTCGGAGGTGGGGAGTGAGTCTAGCGGCAACTTGGACAGCTGCTTTTGTCTTCTTCTATGTTTCCTGTCTCCTCTTGTTTTCTGTCACAGTGACCTTACGTTAGTACTTCCCAGTGTTACGTGGACCGGATTGTGACGTGTAGGACACATGGGTTTAACAGAAGCGCACACCGTGGATTAGAACCTTTAGTTTGTGTTAGGTGGACTGGAGTACCTTTCATAATCTCCTCTCAAATCAGATTTCCTTGACTTGACTTTTATGGTTCATCGAAGGGAACCCGTTCAACAGCATTTTTAGTTCATTTTATTCACATAGGTCAGAGGACAGTATGTGTTTTCAGTCTGAAATGGCCTGAAAGTAACATTTGTATAAAAGAGCAAAACTACAGTAATCTAATAATCAGTCTCAAAACTAAAAAGATGAGGTGTATTAGTGCATGTCTGTAATCCCCACACGCCCGAGGCTGAGGCAGGAGGATCACTGTGAGTTCAAGGCTGGGCTACATAAGTGAGTTCAAGGCCAGTTGGAACTACATAGTGAGACCCTGTCTCAAAAAGAAAAAAGTAAAAAAGCAAACTAAAATTCTATGGCCTGGGTCATTCTTGTTTTCATTTTAGGAGTACATTGGTATCAGACAGGAATGAAAAAGTGCTTGGACTCTTTAGTAAAATGTGTACTTTGCTAGAATGTATTTTATTTCTAAGAGGATTCATGTATAGTATCTAGAGTGGGATATGCTTATTGGAAAACGTGGTGTAAAACATTTTGAGCCATTTTGGGGTAGGAAAGGTGGCAGCATGTGGACCCTGGGCAGTAGAGTTGCGGGGACATCTTAGGGATGCAGGTCGCAGTGGGGTTTGCGCTGGAGGGCTGGAAGCCGGGATGGTGGAGTTACACTGACACTGCAGCTCCTGGGGACAAACCGGGTTCAAAATACCGGGTGATCTGATGGCATATGCTCTGCACACATGTGGGTTTCCAGTACCCGTGGTGGGTGGGGATGGAGGAAGGAAACAATTAATTCCTTTTGAGCGTGGTGATGGGCCCCAGAAGAAAACTGCTCCCCGCTGCAGGGTGGCAAGGATTCATTCCTGCTTCTCATTGCAAATGTTACGATCCGAGGAGTCTGCAGTCAGGTGATGTCAGAGCTTTTGTACCCTCACACGCACCACAGAGACGGTAAAACATAAATGTGGTTCCTGTCCTCGGATGCAGCTGGCAGCAGCCCTTCAGGGTTGCACACAGACTGAAATGCGAGAATCACATAACTCTAGACTAAAACTGGGAAGATGCCTTGGAACCAGTCGGCAGAGCTGCATCACTGAGTTTCTTTGCAGAGCAGCGGTGTCAGCTTCCCCTGGCCCACGTGCTGGGTGCGTCAGTGCTGGACGTGTAGGCCCGGGGCTGCCCAGGGCTGTCAGCATGAACAGCAGCGCTCTGCAGGTAGCCCCTTTCCTCGGACCAGGGACAGAGAGAGGGTGTGTCATCCACGGTCCTCTTCAGGGACAGCAGGCTGAGGACAAAACCCTTAACACCGTTGTCCTCTAGGGGATGGACGGATCCAAATGACAGCAGGTGCCTTGGCTGTCTGACAGAGCCGGCTAACAGGAAAGCTTCCCTGGACCTGTGGTCCTTTAATCGGTTTCTGCTCTGAGACCACACAGAAGAAATCCACCTCTTCTTCCATAAATCTGTGCAGGATGGCTAGTCCTGAATTTCAGTGTCTGTGCAAAATTCATTGATTTTTTTTCCTTTTCCAGGTCTGGATTTATAATGAAGAGCACGAGTTGGTTTTAAATAACCTCCTTTGTCTGGACGTATCAGAAACTCGCTCATCAGACCCACCTCGCCTCATGAAGTGCCATGGATCTGGGGGATCGCAGCAGTGGACCTTTGGGGTGAGGCTGGCTGAGTGGTGTGGGCTCAGGTCCCGATGTGGAGAGCTGCTCTAGAGTCCCCAGAAGGCTGCAGGTCTTTTCTGGACTTCACATGTTAAATAAAAACAAATAACTGATAGCATTTTTTCCTTACTGCTCCCTTTTTGCAGAAAAACAACTGGCTGTACCAGGTGTCAGTCGGACAGTGCCTGACGGTGGTGGACCCCTTGGGCCAGAAGGGCTCTGTTGCTATGGCGATCTGCCACGGCTTCCCCTCACAGCAGTGGCATCTGGAAGGTTAGGGGCTCTGGTGGGCTGTGCCTTGCTGCTGTACCCTGGGGACTTTGGAAAGAATGTGCTGGGCTGGGGAAGCCATACCTGCCTGGGTAGGGACATCAGGGTCCTTTTGAGCTGCTGCAGGGAATTTCCCATTTCCAGAGGGAACTTGGAAATCATCTGACTTCTGAATTGTTGAGTTTGCATAGAAGGCCAAAGGCAGGATGCGGGCATTTCTGGTCATATTTATTGATGCTTCTTTTTAGTCCCCATTACTGATGGAGTGGTTTTAATCTGATCTGAAAATTATAATTTGCTTAGAAGACTTGAGAGTTTTTCCTATTATGTTATAAGAAACAACTTAAAAAATGGTTGACACACATTAAACTTCGTGAGACATCACAGTATTTAAGAGGCAGTCACCTGGTCTAAATTATTTCGATGACTTCTAGCACTACAGACATTTGAAATAAAAAGATCCTTTTGATCGTTTCGGATTCTTTTGGTTTACTTTCTCTCTCACTGATGGGGCTCAGGTGGGGTTTAGTGGGGGAGTGAGTGACCCTGGGAACAGCCTACAGTTTCCAGAACACTTTATGTGAATTGGGACACAGGAGTCAGGGTCTCAGGAGAGTTCCCATTTAGAAAAAAGTTCGGTAAAGTCTGGGTGTGGTACAAGTACCAAAATATGCAAATTTTTTTCCTCCAAAAGTTACATCTCGGAGGAGACACTGTCTCATGGTGGAGGAACTTTGTGATTTTTATCTTAAACCGCAAATCAGGTTTAGCACTATACTTGGATGTATCATCTGTACCCTAAATATTTTACATTTTACTTCAAAGATCAGATGGTACATCCTTAAAGGGAAGAGCAGCAAGATGATGGTCTCAGTCCCAGCAGTTCACATACTAACTAATGTAACGCTCTGGTTAAAAAGCAGAAATGGGGTTTGGTGGTGCCAAACCTATAATCCCAGTGTTTGGGAGGCTGAGGTAGGAAGATCACTACATCTCATAAAAAAATAAAACAGAGCAGAAATTGTCAGATTAAATAAAAATGCAAGACCAGCTGTGAGGCTACCCATAAACAACTCACTACAGATATGGTGACACATCGTTCAGTGCTAGACGTGCGTGTCTAGCATAGCTGTGTTAGCAGTAGATGGATCTCAGCAGGGGCCATTAGCACGGATGGCTGGGCCTTATCTGCTACTTCGAGGTTCATCTCATCCTGAGAAAGAATCCATTCACATACTGGTAGCAGGAGAAGCAGACCAGGCTACTTAAACAAGAGCGACATCCGCCCTCACCTGGGCTGTGAGCCTCCACCAGGCTGTCCTGGGACAGAAACCAGACTTAGCAACCACATACAAACCCAAGTTACACAGCACATGTGAGAAGTCAATAGTAACAAAACCTGACCAAAAGATATCTGGAAAAATCTCTAAATACCTGGAGACCGACACACTTGAGAATATCTTGTGGATCAAAGAAGAATCAGAAGCCTATTTTTAAGCGGGCTGAAAATGACAATGTAGGAGTTTGTGGCGCACAGTTAAATGAGTGCCTAGAAACTATCCTGCCATGCGCCTGTGTACAATAGCACGAAAGGCTCCGGTTACTTTAGGAAGAGGACAGCAAGTCAGGACTCAAAGCAGGAGAAATGAGCCCTAAGTAGCAGGACAGAAATCAATGAAACAGCAAACAACATTCATGGAACAAGCAGTAAAACTGATGAACCTCAGCCGAAGATAAAAGATTCCTGGCCTCAGGAACACGGGCCTCAGCCTCACGCCAGCCTCACGTGTTCGCAGGGCATGGATGCAGCGCAGCTCTCCCAGAGGTGGCCGTGCCTCCCAACACCCAAGTTCCTGGTGTGCACCCAAAGGAGCTGGAAACTCTCTCCGTGCAAGGACAGGCACATGGACAACTCAGCCATTTACCACTGCAGAACTGGAACGGACCTGGGAGAAATGCTAGACAAAATCCTGCACCTGTCTCAGATTCTAAAGAGAGCTCAGCGGAAGTCATGGAGGGGAGCTTCGGGATGAACAGCAGGCGTTAGACTGGCTTCGCAGGAGAGCACGGCACGGAGGTCAGGTGCGGCGTGGGCTCACAGGGCGGCCCGAGACTCTTCGAGACTCTCAGGCCTATGAGGACAGGGCAGGGAAGCCCCCACACCCACGTGTCTGGGTGACCACACTTGGTCAGGACAACAGGACTAACCCAGTGGCGTGTGAATGGCCGTGATGGCACAGGAGGACAGCACACTGTGGCTTCAGAGTATTTATGTCTGCTTTGTGTAACCCTTTGCATGGGAGTGACCCATTGCTGCTAAGTCATATCTATGTATTTTTTCTGTGTATCATTGTAACAGAAAAATGAAAGAGAGGGAATGAAACATGCTCAGTCTGATGCAGGGAATCTATGAAAATGGCGTGAAAAGCTACTGCAGCAAGGTGAGGAGCTCTTACCTCTCCCAGCAGGCAGGGTGCACTGTCAGGCAGTACTGGGGGCAAAGAAATGGACAGAGGGAGGACGGAGTGAATGAGTATTTGCAGAGCATGATCAAGAATGTAGAAAATCTGCAGAAATACTACTACAGAGGATTCCTGACTGTAAAGGCATCCATCTTAATTTAGTGGCTTTCCATCCAGTGGGGCAGAGGAGCACCGGTCCCACCAGCTCTTCACTCAAATTACCAGTAGATCTCTAAGGCTTTCCATGCACTTGTAACAGGCTTCGTGTCAGCTGGCTCTGCCCTCAGTAGGCTGAAGTAAGTGTTTGGAGCACACTGCAGGGCTGGCTACGCTGTAGTGCTTGGTAGCTTAGGTGTTATTAAATAAATGTGTTTTCCCCTATAGTGGGGCTGGGGTGATAAAGAAATCAACATAGTAAACTACTTCTACATATTAGCAACAGATGGTTTGAATTTTAAATTAGTCATCATTAATCACAATAGCATTAAAAATATGTAATTTAGGGTATAACAAAATACTTGTGACGTTTATCTGAAGAGCATGAATTTTTGGGGGGGTACTGGAAATCAAACTCAGGACCTTGAAGACATTTGCAAGGGAAATTAAAGACCTAAATAAGTTGAAAATTACTGTGTCCATGGACTGAAGAGTCAGTACTGTTAGGGTGTTTATTCTCCACAGTTTGATCCACAGATATAATGCTGTCCTTTACTAGAATTCCAGTAGGCTTTTGTAGATGGTGATAATCCAGCATTAAAATTTACATGGCACTGCAGTAGATTAAGAGTGGCCACAATCCTTTGAACAGAATGCGGGGGGAAGATGTACTAGTTCACACCTGCCCAGCTGTGGCTGAAGAGTGAGCCCCTGAGGGGAGGAAAGCGCTGCCGTGGAGCTCACTGCCTTTTGCAAAGGTGCTGTTTCAGGAAGGGAGCCCCTGCACATGTGGCTGAAGGAGCTGATACAAAGACGAACTTTGATCCTGTTTACCCTGTACCTGAAAATTGTTTCAAGACAATTTACAGATCTAAATATAAAAAGCTAAAATTTCAGCCTGGAGGGAAACACAGGAGTGTCTTCCTGATTTCAAATGAGGTGAAGGTTTTCTGAGAAGCCACTTTAAAATAGGAACAAGCTGAACTATCAAAGTTGAGCTTCTGCTTATCAAACATGATCCAGAGGTAGGACCAAGATGGCAGAGCTGTAAGCAGCAAAGAAAGCCTCTCAGAGAGTTGCCATCCAGAGGCTGGAATACTGTATTGTGAGGGAGACCAGGAGAGAAGTGGTCACCTGGACCAGGAAGAATCTGAAGGAAGGACTGAAGCCCGGAGGGAGAGGAGAGGGACACTAATGGGGAGGGAGGCAGCTGGTGGGGCCTTCTCCCTGAGATGGGACTCACTGCCCAAGAGGCTGTGGGACCCCAGACGCCTCTGCAGAGACACAGCACTGGGAGAAGCAGTGGCCCTGAAGGGCTGCACTGGACAGCAGGGAGTACTGAGGGCTCAGTCATCCCCCTCCCCCCAAGAAAGCAGTTGCCCTGGAACCATCTTGGAGGTGCCTGGCTGAGCTCAGAACTCAGAGCTGCAGCTGGCTCCATCTAGTGGCTCCAGGCTGGGCTGAGACCCACAGAAGGGCTGGAGCCAAAGGAATCTCTCTCAGCCAGAAAGTGCAGGCTCACTGGGAGGATCCACTACCCTGCTAAAAAGCAACTGCCAGTTTGCTGGGATAGACTGACACGCATCCGGACTCCTGTGTCCAGGGGTGAGCTAGTGGAGTGAGGCAGAGACGGCCCTGGAGTGAATTTTCCTCCTTCCTTCTCCTGGTTTTTGTTGCTGTGGTGGTGGGTTTTCATTTTTTGCTCTTTTTTTCATTTTTGATCTTGTCTTTACATGAGCATGAACATGGTTTCTAGCCTTTCTGTGGGTATGGTTTTGTTCTGTTCTCTCTCTTCTTTCCCTCCAGTCTTCTGAACCAGTTTTCCAAAGTTAGTATGGTCCTTTATCCTCCAACCTTACTTCTATGTCTTCTGCTTCACTATAGCAAAAGTGACGTAATTGTTCTAAACAGCTGTTGATCCTGGCATTCCATGACTGAGATTGACTAAGAATCACAGAAAATACTGCAAACACAGTGCCAAGAACCAGGGACTGGGCCAAACAAGCAGCAACTTCTCATCTCCAACAAACGGAAAAGGCGCAATCTTCCAAGACTCAAAACCCCAAACAAGCTACACTGGGAAGATACTTCAGAGAAGTAATCACTACCTAAGTGTCCTATATACTAACAATAAAGCAACCCACCACAGGCAATCTACAAGCATTACCCAGGAATTAAACTAAAAAAAGAAAAATGAGAAGACACTTAAAATGCAATCCTAGACATCTAGTTCACCAAAGGCAAATGGGTCAGCGAGGTGGGGCAGTCTGAAAGCCCCCTCCCCCCCCGGCCTCTCTGAAGTGGTAACGACCAAGCCAGTGAATGAGGCTCTGGGAAAAATTAAGTCAGTCATGCAGATGAATGCTGAGATGGTGTCCAAGGTAAAGAGCATGCTTCCTGCAGCAGACACAGACCAGAACATAGATGAGCTTAGGAAAACTATGGGAGCCATGAATGCTCAGCAGAGGAAAGAAGTGGAATCCATACAGCAGATTCAAGCAGACATCCAGGGGAATAAAAATTCAGTTGAAAGTATTTGCAGCAGATGAGGCCAATGTGAGGACAGGATTTCAGATATAGAAGACAGGCTTGCAGTTAGCAACCAGGAAAAGATTTCTCAAAACTATTGAGGGACAGTTTATCAATCTAGAAGCTGCTAGAGGAGACAAGATTGATTAGAGTCAGTGAAAAAATGAGATACCACAAATGATATTTAAATTCAACAAGAATAGAATCTTAAAAGCCGTCAGGGAAAAGACACAAATCACCTATAAAAGAAAGCCCATCAGAATCACAGCTGACCTCTCAGCACAGACCATCATGGTAAAGAGAGCTTTGGTGAAGTATTTCAAATTCATTCA